GTATAGTTTCTGCTTATCCTTGAGCAGTGGGATTTAGTTCCCTGCCAGCCCCCCAATTTTTCAAATGAACCAATCACATCCTCTGGCAGGAAGCAGAGGGCACTCAATCCTCTGTGTTACTCGGCGTGCCCCCCACAGCCCCTGGTTCCACTGCCCCTCAGTGCAGTCACAGGTGAACCGGCGAGGCGTGTATATGCCACTAATGAACTGCTGTCAGTCTCATCTGTCCAGTGTCCTGTGCCGTGTGTTCAGCCACAACCACAGGATAGGAATCCTTCCCGTGTCAACGGATAAAGAGAAATCGTTAAAACATCTTTTTTGCCCACTCCACAGCTTTCTGCTCTTTTTCATGTCTTTGAGTTTCTTGAACACCTCTGGAAAGGTCATGAGCCGCTCTGTGATGGTCATGGCATCCAGCACTGTGTTAATCACAGTGCATACACTTTCCCGTTTACTTTCCCGACCCTCCCTCTGAGGTAGATACCACTATTATCCCTAATTTTCAGGTGAGGAAACTAATGTCCAACAAGGTTATGCAACTTGCCTAAGACGCACAGCTATTGAATTTGAGCAGAGCTCACATGCAGATCTGCCTGGCTCCTGACTACCGTCGTGCTGACTGGCTCACTGCTGTCATCCCTCCGCGCCTCTCGCAGACAGAGGTGTGCTGCTGGATGCCTGACGAGAGCACCTGCATCTGAGGCACCCCGTTTCTCCGGCTGGTCTCGCTGAAAGATGGACGGATGTGTGTCTGGGAAAGAGTGCTTTGGAACAGGCCAGCTGACTGGCCGGATGCCAAGAGACTTCCCTCTATGGCCTGAACTTACTCTGGTTTGGTTGTCAAGCTTGCAGACACAAAAACCCTATTCTGTAGAAGTCTTACAGTTAATTGAACTTGAGGTTAGATAACACTATTTAAACTCGTAAAAATAAACTATAAATCAGAAAGGCAATTTATTAGTTCATTTACTAGTGAAATATGCCTATTCTTTGCAGTTATCTGTAAAAAAAAAAAAAAAAGGCAGCGAGGTCAAGTATCATCAGAAAGCCTTCAAGAGTCACAGAAGAGACTGCACGCTGCCTTCACTGGGAGCCTGGTGCTTCTGCCTTTGCCATGGAAGTCAATGCCTGGCCTCCAGACTGGGCAGGCAGAGTCTGAGGGGTAATGTACACTGTACAGGCAGCGCCAGCTGCCATTCTGTCTTGTCACCTCCATCACCGAGTTCCTGAACTCATCTGTGGCTCTGGTCTCTTTTTTGGTAGTTGGACTCAGCTTTGTCCTTGAGGTAGCCCTGTGCAATGACCTAATAGCAGTGACCACGTGCTAATTTTTCAGTCTCTCTGAGAATGTAAGAAGTGCCCTCCTGTTACTCCTGCCCACAGGCTTCTCTGTTCATGCTCCAAACATCTATCTACAGCAGATCAGGACTCCTCCTTCCAGGAGTCTAAGCCCAATGAAGCTTTTAACTCACTTCAAACTTACCCGCCTTAAAACTTCCATCTGGGCTGTTTCCAGATCTTAGCTATTGTAAATAGTGCTGCTATGAACATGGGGGTACATATATTCTTTCTGATTGGTGTTTCAGGCTTCTTAGGGTATATTCCTAGAAGCGGGATCACTGGGTCAAATGGAAGTTCAATTTTTAATTTTTTGAGGTAACACCATATTGTTTTCCATAGTGGCTGCACCAGTCTGCATTCCCACCAGCAGTGTACTAGAGTCCCCTTTTCTCCACACCCTCGCCAACACTTGTTGTTTGATGATTTGTTGATGGTGGCCATTCTGACAGGTGTGAAGTGATACCTCATTGTTGTTTTAATTTGCATCTCTCTGATGATTAGTAATGTTGAGCATTTCTTCATATGTCCATCAGTAGACGAATGGATAAAAAGCTGTGGTACATATACACAATGGAGTACTATGCAGCTGTAAGAAAGAAAGATCTCTTATCCTTTGAGACGACATGGAGGGACCTGGAAAGTATTATCCTAAGTGAAATAAGCCAAGCAGAAAAAGACAAATACCACATGATCTCACTTATATATGGAATATAATGAACACAACAGTCTGAGGAATACAGTAGACCCAGACACATGGAAGTAGGGCACAGACTGACATCACTCAGAAGAGGGGATGGGGGGTGGGTGGGTGGGAAGAGATAAGCCACAGAACTTATATGCATGTATACATAACCAACTGACATGGACAACAAAGTCGGGGATGAGGTGGGGGTGGGGTGGGGAGGGGGGTGCCAATGGGGTAAAAAAGGAGAAACATCTGTAACAAAAAAAATAAATAAAATAAAATAAAAACAAAGAAAAAACTTCCATCTGGGTCATCTGCCTCACTCTGGCTACCCCAGATTCAGTCCTCATCCCCTTTCCCTCTGTCCCTTCACCCATTCCTTCCTCCCATGCCCTTCTTTCACCTGGCACTCTGCTTCAGGCCACCCTGCCACACATCACTAATTTAAATTTAAATTTAAAAGATTTGTCAATACCAAACGTACATGAAATGATCCCTGATCAGAAAGATAAGAAAAATCAGATAAGTCTGCAACTAGAATTATCCTTAGAGACTAAGCAATTTAGCTCTAACATAATTTCACAGATGAAGAAACTAACAGAAATTAAGTGACCTGCCAAGTCATGTATCTAGGTAATGGCAGGGCCAGACCCAGGACCCAGGTTTCTAGGCTTTCAAGCCACTACTTGAATCAAAATACCAAACCCCTAAGTATACACAACATAACCTCCATGTGGAAGGCTTTCTATGTGTCTCTCAGACTGGCAGCCACTAGTACTAGGTATGTATACAGCACATTTACTGTTTTTTTCTTTGAATGTTGATTAAATATCAACCACTGATAGCTCTTGCAATGAGAAAATAATTATCCTTAAGCCATAAAACTGCCCCAAAGTGTAAGGGAAGATATCATCACAAATTTCCCAATCTACTGACATTAGTGGATCTGTAAGGTAAATTTATGACTTAAAAAGAAAACAAAAGATTTAAGTGATTATTAAGATATTTAAAAGATAATATATCAATGAATATTTCACCAAGGTCAGGATGAAGGAGGCTTTTGTCTTCCTTAAGGAGACAAAAGAAATTCACAAATGATCAACAGATCTGACTACAGAAAAATGTAAACTTCCCCCAAAAAACCATCATATGAAGTGAAAAATAAGTAGTTACTATTAGACTAGAAAGATCATACAAATCAATAAGAAAAACATTAACAATGATATTTTTAATGGACAAAGAAAATAGATAATTCACAAAAGAAGTAAGTCAATAAATCAATTTTTAAAAGTTCACCCATAAATTAAAAAATACAAATGAAAACATTAATAGTATTTTGGGGCAATCACATTGAAAAAGTTTTGCAATGATAGCATTTAATTGGGAAACAGTGGTTTTAGACCATGAACTCTGATCTGGCAGATTTTGAAGACTTAGTGACCTTGGGCAAGTCACTTTAATTTCTGTGAGCCTTAATGTCTTCACAATTTTGGTAGGTTTTTTGGGGGGAGTGATAACAATGTTACAGAATTAGAAAGTGATGATGATTACACAGGCTTTTGAAGCGTATGCTTTAAAACACTAAATTGTATGGTACATTAATTATATCTAAATAAAAAATTTAAATTAGGCTCTTGAAGATTTTTAATAATGTGGGAAGATACTTTCAATATATTAAAAGAAAAAAACAGCATGCAACTATATATATAACTCAAGTTTGGTTTAAAAATATACATACGTGCACCCCGGCCGGTTTGGCTCAGCAGTTAGAGCATCAGCCCACAGACCAGAGTGTCCTGGGTTTGGTTCCTGCTAAGGGCACGTACCTCAGGTGCAGTTTGTCCCCAGCCCCAGGTAGGATCGTGTGGGTGGCAACCACTCGATGTGTCTCTTTCACATTGATGTTTCTCTCTTTCTCTTCCTCCCTCTCTCCCTCCCGCTCTATCTGAAGATAAATGCAAAAAATGTCCTCGGGTGAGGATAAAAATAAAAAATAAAATAAAATAAATATATATTATATATACAATATATATGTAATTGCATATACACATTTGCACTAAAAAAGATATAAAATATTTCAAAATGATAACAGTGGTTACCCCTAGGTGGTGTCATTATGGGGAACCTATTTTCTTCATACATTTCAAAATTTTCTATCATAAACATATTATTTTTATAACCAGGAAATTTAAAAATAGAAACCCAGGTAGGTCTGTCTGGCTATAAAGCTAATGTCATTTCCAACATACTATTCATTCATTAACATTTATTTCACTTCTACTAGGTACCAAGCAAAGTTAGTAAAATATAATCTCTGCAAGCAAGAGATTAGCATGGGACTGGGAAGGGGAAGGAGAGTCCATATGCACCCTTTCTCGGGGAGAGGGCCCACAGCTGTCATGAGCAGCAGTGTAGTTTAGTGGTTAAAGGCTGGAGCCAGAGCCAGACTGCCTGGGTATGAAGCTTGAATGTCCAATTACATGCTGTGTGATCTTAGGAAAAATGACCTATCCTGCGTGGGGTACAGTTTCCTCATCTACAAAACAGGAGTAACAATAATACCTCTCTCACTGGGTTGTTAGAAGCTTAAATGAGTCAACACACCTAAAGCACGAGCTCTAGAGACATACTAAGTGCTCACTAAATCAATAAGCTGCTGGCCACCACCACCACCACCACCACCATCATCATCATCATCATCCCCACCACCACCTCACCACCAGATTCTCAAAGAGGTACAGACATGCAGATTAAGAACCACTAGCAAGAAACCATCACATTCAACAAATTTCTTTTTCTAGATTCTCTCTATTTTAAATGGAATTCTTCTTTTGAGGCATTCTATAAAATACATGACACAAAACATCAAAACGCTCAGCATAACAAACTGTTAGTGTCCTCTTATCTTCAGACTAATTCACAGAAACAAGCCATTTAAAATGGAAGGAGGCTTTGAGAGACTTATCTGCCTTTCCTCTGTCTTTCTTGGCCATGCTGCACAGATCCAGTCGTTCATCCAAGATGACTCTTGACAGGCCAAACTGCAAAATCTCCTGAGCAACACATTCATCTGACAAGTGACTGGGGACAGCGACTGCATCACATTGAATGTGACTCTTGTATCCTGCAGTCAAGAGTCTCAACAAGCAATCATCGCTTCAGGGCTCTCACGTCCAACCTCTTAGGTGTTAACAAAGATCCTTGGCTTTGTCACGGGCACCGACAGACATTTTGCTCTGACCTGAACATCTGGATGAATTCTGAGTTTTCACCAACTCAATTATGAGAATATACTTTTCTTCAGCAGGGAATCAATCTGGACCACACAGGAACACAGCACCCAATTCTGAATTAAAAGAGAGTGGTCTAATGTAAAACTCAAAGAGCTCAGGCAAATAAAGAACACCAACCCAAGCTTGGGACTGCGGAGGCTGTGTGCTTAGTCAAGGTTGGGAGCACAGGCTCTAGACAGACACCTAGGGCATGAGTGCCAGCTATATGACTTTGGGCAAGTTGCTTAACTTTCTGGGCCTCAGTTCCTCATATATAAAATGGGAATGATATTAGTCCTTATTTCATGGGGTAGTTACTAGCAATAATAAGCCACTACACATAAATGAGTCAATTACAGAAAGGAAATTTCTTGTAACATTTTAAACATCCACTGAACGTTAAAAGGAATCATAAAAATTCACCTGGCAAAATATTTGTTTTTATAGTTCTTAGGCTAGTTGGTCAGTTCACAGATATACTTAAAAAAAATTTTTTTTTAATCCTAACCCGAGGACATTTTATCCATTTTTTGTTCAGATAGAGTGGGAGAGGGAGAGAGGAAGAGAGAGAGAGAGAGAGAGAGAGAAACATCAACATGAAAGGGACACACCGAGTGGCTGCCACCCACATGACCCAACCAGGGCCAGGGACAAACTGAAACCGAGGTACGGGCCCCTAGCGGGAGCCAAACCCAGGTCTCTCCAGACCGCAGGCCGACGCTCTAACCACTGAGCAAAACCAGGGCATGTTCACAGATGTACTTTTTAAAAATCACTCTGCCTCATCATTCAAATGTTACATATGTGTCATATATATATATCAAATATTACAAAAATTATTTTTTAAAAGAAAAGAATTTCTAGACAATCACATGACTAGTTTCATACAGCTGGTCTGAGATGGAAGTCAGCCAGGAAAGAGAGAGAATGAAGAGGGTTAGACCTCTCATAGCACAGGTCTCTGGGCTATAATCAGCAATTTTATTCAAAGCCTTAAACTGACTGAAAATTAGGAGGAAATACAAAGAATTTCTGAAATCACCTGGTCCAATTCCCACATTTTGTAGATGAGAAACTCAAGTGTTGAGAAGTAAGTGCTTTTAAGACCTTCTGGTTAACTAATGACAGAAATGACACTATTACCCATGTCTGATCTATATATTCTAAGTGGAAAGCAAAGAGGAAGACATTCTGGAAGGGGAAAAAAGACAGACACAGTTTGGAAGGGTTAAGGTAGAGACTTAACAATACATAGCTAACATATACTGAAATTTATTGTATCCCAGGCACCGTGCCAAGAACTTTGCATGGGTGGCCTTATATAATTTTTGCAAAACCTGTGAGGCAGTTACTATTATTAACTCCACTTTCAACTGAGAAAGTGGAGGCCTAGAGAGATTAAATGACTCGCCCCAAATCACAAAGCCAGTGAGTGGTAGAGTCAGTAAATGAACCCACGCTGTCTGACTCTGGAGCTGGAACCTTGACCACTAGACCTTGCTCAAGCTTGAGAATTTAAAAAGCAGTTAAGCTCTTGATCCTAGAGTCTTTCTCCTATTTTTTTGGTAACTTCTTTGTTCAGAGGCACTGCAAAGATACGCAGTAAATGAAATGATCTTTAAGCAAGAACAGGTGAATTATTTAGAATTTACTTATTCTGTGCTATATATATGAGGCGCCATATAGAGATTTCTCAAGCCTCCAACTTCTCCAAGGCCACATAGCTGTAATAGTGCCACTGGGGGATGTGAAGCCTGCAGCCCCAGCATGACTCCAAGGCCCTATTTCCTACCCTCATCAGTGGGCAGTGTCTAGGAGATCTTTACTGAGCTCAGCCAAGTGCCCTTAACTGAGGTCTGACACTGCACAGAGAAGAAATTCGGCACAATCCCTGCTCTCCAGGAGCTTATAGCACAGCCGGGAAGAAGAGATCACTTTCAGCATAAAATCCTTCTTTTCTTATACCTTTGTAGTTAAGTAGCAGAAGAACTGAAGAGACTATGAACCCCCAGCTCCCTGCATTACTGTCCTATTACCCTCCTCAGATCACCCAACCCTCAATACACCTCTGTGTACATTTCATAGATGACCTCCATTCTCCTCTTAATGCTGTAAGCTTCTTCTTCTGTCTTTGAAGAAATGGAAATTATTTTCATCTCTATCTTTCTCTCATCCATCACTAGGGTGTATGACAAGAGGGTTAACTTAAGGAGCTAATAAAAATTGCAAAAGAGCCCGGCCGGTGTGGCTCAGTGGTTGAGTGTCGACCCATGCACCAAGAGGTCACTGGTTCGATTCCTAGTCAGGGCACATGCCCAGGTTGTGGGCCAAATCCCCAGTGGGTAGCATGCAGGAGGTGGCTAATCAATGTTCTCTCTCATCAATGTTTTTATCTCTCTCTTCCTCTCCCTTCCTCCCTCTCTAAAAATCAATAAAGAATAAATAAGTTTTTTAAATGCAGAAGAGCCTAACTTCTCTATTGTCTTTAACTTTAGGAAAGAGCCTACGGGATTCTACTGGGGATTGAGCTGGAAACCTAGGCATGTTCCCTAATCAGGAATCGAACCAGTGACCTTTCAGTGCATGGGATGATGCTCAACCAACTGAGCCACATTGGCCAGGGAGAGCCTATGGATTCTATAGTATTTGCTCAAAAATGTTCAAAGAAGACATGGAAAATGTCTTCAACAATTTGCTGCCCAGAAAAGAAAATCCAAAACACTATAGGGGCCAATTAGTCTGCTGTCTTAGACTTTGACCTTGGAAAGTCTCCCTCTGGTCTGAATCTGACTGGAACCGACGGCAGCTGACAGCAGAGTGCCAGCTATATGAGCAGCTGGTGTCTGGGTGGTCAAATTTGATGACTATTTCAGAGTAACATTCAAAAGTTATAGTACCACAGCAACCTATGGGCTGAATGTATAAGAGCAGTAAGTTTTGCTGTTATTTAAATGTGTAAGTTCCTATTGTGTTCCTGACATCATGCTAGGAGCCAGGCACCCAAAACAGTGGAGGGCCTTTAAAAATTAACCAATAGAATTGCACTAATAAAACTAGGCAATGAGAAGGCAAAGCATGAACAGAGCACACGAGGAGTAATGATAGGAGGGTTTACTGTTTGCAAATGGCCAAAGTGAGGGCAGTATCTGTGATATGCTGTGGAAGGGAAGACTAATAAAATACTACCAGTTTGAGTTTAGACGAGTGGCTCTTGACTGTCTTCCTTCTATTTCTCCCTAGCCAGTTGGAATTTAAAATCTGAAAAATAATCTTAATAAGGAGCTAGAAAAGAGTTAGACTCTAAAGCTGACTTTAGCCTTGTAACCTTGAGTTACTTTACCGTTCAACACCTGTTTTCTCAAGTATAAAATGGAGTTAACATGCATATGGGAGCTCACAATGCTAGTCTCACTTTTGTATGTTTCAAGTTTCCATAGTAAGTTTTAAATGGAGATAATAGTACCTATTGCTTAGCTGCCGTAAGAATTACAAGAAATAATTATGTAAAAACACCTAGTACAGTGCTTGACACTTTGTAGGTGTGCAGTGAAATGGTAACTATTATTACCAACATGTTATTTTTTAAAGTTCTGGGATGGGGATAAAGAGAACAAAACACTATAAACCAGTGGATTAATGGCCGCAGAGTGCAGACTTGTATGTCTTACAGGCTTTTCACTCTTCCATCCACTTTCATTTCCCTTACTGCTTTATTCTTCCATTCAACAACTATATACTTACTGCTTACTGCATGCAAGACACATAGCTAAGGAGTGAGAATGAGGAAAAGAGGCAGAGAGACAACAGAAGGGCTTTTGAGGGGACGATATAACAAGATGGGCTTTTGGGGGGTATTGTAGAACCAAACAAAAATGGTACACAATAAGTTTGGAGTATGTGGGTGTATGCAACCACTCTGAAAAGTTTTGGAAGAATTCTCAAGACTTTTTTTAAAAATTAAGAATGAAAGTCTAATAAACTGAACAAGAAGCATACACATTTTATATAAGGAAAAACATAAAGCACTCTTGAAAAATCATAAAAATAACCTTGAGCAAATGGAAAGACAGACCAAGATCTTGGAGAGGACGACTCAGCATCATAAAGATGTCTGTTCTCTTTAAGCTAACTTATGAATTTAACATGATCTCAATAAAAATGCCATCAAGTTGTTTCCTCCTGAAATTAGACAGATTGATTATGAAATTCACATGGCAGAATGAACAAGCAAAAACAGCCAAGAAAACCCTGAAAAAGAAAAATATGAAAAAAAATTGGCCCTTCCAGATACTAAAACAAATAAAAGGCTCTAAAATTACAATGCTTTGTAATGGTATATGAACTGACAAACCAATGGAACAAAATAAAAATCCAGTAAGAAATCCAAATGCATATAAGTTTTATATCCAAGAAAGACTGCATCTAAAATCAGTGGAGAAAAGATACAAACTTTAAGTAGTGTTGGGACACCTGGCTGGCCAATAGGAAAAAGATAAAATTGATCCTTCCTCAAACTAAATGCCCCAAAATTCCAAGTGGATCAGTCTTAGATGTGGTTTTGTTGTTGTTTTAAGTGAAACCATGTGTACTAGAAGAAAACGTTAATGAATTTCTCATAAAATGAGAGTGGGGGAACTCAGACTTAAAACCTAAACCAGTGATTTTCAACTGGTATGCCGCAAAACTTTTAAAACATCTAATACCTGACTATTTAGTTAGGAGCACTGACCTCTTTTCCTTCAGATTGTCAAATTAAAAATGACAACAGGCAACACAACAATAGCCGTCTGGTGTGAATGAATAAAAATTATACCTATTTTTTTGGTCAGATCAGCAAAATATATATTTTTTGGTGTGCTGCAGAATTTTAGTAATTAGTTTATGTGAGCCATGAGATGAAAAAGGTTGAAAATCACTGGTCTAAAGCGGTACATACACTGGAAGACTGATAAATATGACTATATAAAGATGTAAAATTTTGGCCTTCCGGTCAAGATGGCGGCGTAGGTAACCGCGGTATTGCCTCCTCCCACATCCACATCAAAATTACAACTAAGCTACAGCACAACCATCA